TTACAAATAGCATGCATTTGAGGCCAGCCTGTGAAATTAGACAGAATAAGATATTTTCTGTGATCTTGTTCATTTGAAATTTTAATTGGATGTTCAGAAGCATAAAATCATAGGGTTTTGCCAGAAGGGGTTTGAGCTCATTTCCATCCCCTCATTTAGTGACTTGTCCAAGGTTACTCAGCACATTAGTTGCTGGGGGGACACTAGACCCTAACTCCCTTGACCTTGCCTGTACTTAATGCCCTGCCTCACGATGCCTTGAGACAGTGAAGAATGTTCAACAGCCAGCCAAGTGAAAGGCCACAGGGGAGAGCTATGAGGCCTCAGTGCTGCTGCTTCTCGGTCCTGCTGATTTCTGCTGCACCTTGCTGCCCCGGCCCGAAAGGATGCTCTGCCTAGGCAGCACAGGGTACTAGAAATCACCGGATGCAGAAAGAATACTTACCTTGTAAGAACATTTTCCTTATGACATGCCAGGTACTTAGAATATGCTTTTCAGTCCTTTCCCCATATAATTGAATGAAATGCACAGGCTGACCTGATCTTATTTTCTAACTGGCGTTACACAGTTCCCTGGATTCAAGCAGGCTCCGGTGAGGAAACAGACTTGTTGACACTGTTGGGAGGAGTGCAGTGCTTCAAGTGCCCACTTGGTCCCCTTCAGCCAACTGGGTCCCACTTGCTGCTGTGGTCATTTGGTTTCCCCCTCAGTCCCAGGTTCTTTCTCGTCACACTTGCTTCTGCGGTCATATGGCTTCCCCTGGGCCCCTGGTTCCCACTCGCCACCAGTGAACCTCCAGTTCTGGAACCCCAGAGGCAGATGGTGTCTGTGTCTAGGTACCAGCAGCAACTATGGCTGCCCTGAAAACTTTTGAAAACAATTTTATATTTGCTACTTTTTAAAAGATCGCTTCTTTGAAATAATCACCATGGAAGAGTCAAAATGGTGTTGGACTTCCCTATGCGTGTTGTACAGTTATGTGGTTTTTGTTAGTTAAAAAAGAAACTCAAACTTGGGGAGGCTGAGGCGGCAGAATCACTTGAACCTGGGAGGCAGACGTTGCAGTGAGCCGAGATCACGCCACTGTACTCCAGCCTGGGTGACAGGGCAAGACTCCGTCTCAAAATAAATAAATAAATAAATAAAAGAATCTCAAACTGACGAAAGATCCAAGAACAGTGCAGTAAATTCCTATATTGTCCTTCACCTTGATTTACCAGTTGTTAACATTTTGCCACATTTGCTTTCTCCCCCATATATAACATATATAGATATATACAGATACAGTTCTATTTCTATATATTATAATTATTACCGTTATTTTGCTGAACCATTTGAGAGTAGGTTGAAGACGTTGGGAGCTTTCATTCCTAAACACTTCAGCCTGCATTTCTGGAGAACGAGGACATTCTCTTACATAATCACAATACGGTTTTCCAATCTAGGAAATTTAACATGGATGCAGTGCTGTTACAGTTTGAGCATTTCTAATCTGAAAACGGAAAATGCCCCAAAATCTGAAATTTTTTGAGCTCCAAAATGACACAAGTAGAAAATTCCACACATAAGTACTTAACATAAATTTAGTTTCATGCACAAAATTATTAAAAACGTTGTATAAAATTATCTTCAGTCTATGTATATAAGATGTATATGAAACAAACGAATTTAATGTTTAGACTTGGATCCCATCCCCAAGATACCTTGTTATATATATATGCAAATATTCCAAAATCTGAAAAAAATCCTAAATCCAAACCAATTCTGTTCCCAACCAATTTCAGATAAGGGAATATATTCAACTTGTATGGAATATACAGCCCACGTTCAAATTTTGCCATTTGTCACAATTCAAATTGTGAGTTGCTTTTATTTTATTTTATTTATTTCATTTATTTATTTTTCTTTTTTGAGACAGAGTTTTGCTCTTTCACCCAGGTGGGAGTGCAGTGGCGCGATCTCAGCTCACTGCAACAGCCGCCCCCCAGGTTCAAGTGATTCTCCTGCCTCAGCCTCCCAAGTAGCTGGGATTGTGGGCACCTGCCACCATGCCTGGCTAATTTTTGTATTTTTAGTAGAGATAGGGTTTCGTTATGTTTGCTAGGCTGGGCTGGGCTTGAACTCTTGACCTCAGGTGATCCGCCCGCCTCAGCCTCCTAAAGTGCTAGGATTACAGGTGTGAGCCACTGCGCCCTGTGGAATTGCTTTTATTTTAACTATTTATTGGCAGGAGGAAATGGGGAGGTAGGTTCCCAAGGTCATACACTGCACCAGCTTTCATTTGCTTTTTTATTTTAGGTTTCTATCTGCTGATCCTCCACTAGAGCACCCTCAACCAGTAATCCTGAGACTGCTGAGGGAGTTGGGGCTCGGGTATCCTGCAGTAGTTGCATTATTGTGAATGTTCAAGTAACAAGTCACACAGTCAATATATTTCCCGGTGTGGACATTTGATATAAGGATATGTTTTTGTTTTCAAAGACTTAAACATTATTAGGTAGATTCTTTTACTACCGTACAAAAAAAAATCAGCCAGTCTGCATGTATTACTAGTTTTAATATTACACTTTGGCCCCTGGACTAGAGATAACGTCCTCAATTAAAATTACAAATCACACCACTGCCTTAGCACCAGGGGGCAGAGTCGGGCTTGCTGAGACTCTGGAGTGGGGAGTTTTTTTACCCAGTGTGCCATAGTTGGGTTTAAATCATTTCTCTCCTGATAGAAATGTACTCACTAGTGAAGTTGGTAATACGTTTATCCTGATTTGTTTACATAGTTAAACCCCTGACTTCTGCCATTACCCTTTTCCTGAGGTTTATATACATTTGCTGTTTTCCAAAGATAGGGAAATAGAAACTTACTGTCAACCTCAATCAAGATGCACTGCTGAATTGTGAGGGACTAGTTTCCGTTTTCCTTTTAGCGTATTCTGCATTCACAAATAAAGTGTCTTTGTGTTATATCATGAATTTACATAAGACTGCTTTGGCCTTAGAGTATTTATAAAACATTAATGGATTAAAGAACCAGGGGATGTAGATAGGACGCTAATACCTGGTTATCATTTGGTAGGAACTGGCTCAGCAAAGTGGTTTAAATTTCCTGACCAAGCCAAACTACAGAGGTGGTTGCATTAGGACAAGGATTATAAAGAGATTATGGTCTATTTAAAATAAATCTTCAGCCTTGCTTCAGCCTCATTAGCAATTAGCAAGAAAGTATGAAGACAGGGATTTCTTTCTCTGCACTTGGTTCTTCATTGCATCATAAGAGGTTAGAACACAATTAGGCATTCTGTCCTTGCCACCAAAAGTCAGCTTCCTTTGATGCTTGGCAGTCTGCCAGCTTCTTTTGCTTTGCAGTACCTGCCTCTGGAGAACGTGTTTGGTACACCAGGATGTCTGATTTTATTAAATCTCTAAGTCTAAAATGCTTTCTGATAATTATTTTTTAAAACTCAAATCTAAAAAAAAAAAAAACTCAAATCTTCCCTCTTCCATAGTATCAGAAAATAGACCTTTTAGTTATAGAAAATTATTTCTATTTTTGTTCCTAGCAAGGCTGATGACTGTGGGCTTTTACATGTTGGCATCTTCCAAGAGCATGTTCAAGACATCCATGCTTTGAGACTTACATATCTATAGGGTGGTGGGGCTCAGTTCTACAATGATTTAATGTCTTCAGAAATGAGGACACCTTTTGTGTTGAGTTATTTCAGAAAGTCTAACATTTTAGAGGCTCCATAATATCCACTCTAGATGGAAGAAATCTTGTGATATATCTTGAGAGAATCTTGGTTGCCATTTACCCGCTCTTTTTCAGAGAGGAACAGTGAAACCATCAGGCCACTTGTTGCCTGTAATAGGCCTGAGTATCCTATGTGTTCTCTCCATCCCCCTTAGACTTGGATATCAGGATTCCCATAATCCCCGTTGTCCAGTGTTTTATTTGCCACAGCAAAACTTAGTATTGATAAAACTATCAGGTCGGTCATTTAGGATTGACTTTCTGTCTGTCACATGACTACAGAAGCAAGTTCAATGAATATTAGATTTGGCCAAACCCTGTTTCTTGTACCTTTATGTTTGTGTAACTTTATGAGAATTCAGAGGCCAGAGTAAAGAAAATGGCCTGATACTAAATAAGAACTAAATGTGGATTTAAAGAAATAATCAGCCTGATTAAAACAAAGGTCCGATTACGACATTTCGTTACTATAATTTAGTTGTAAACGTCCTTCAGCTCTAAGACTTTCTCCTGAAAAACTGCCATTTGTTTGTCAAGAGACTTAAAATAATAACTCTTTGTTTTCACAGACCTTGGGTTTATTCTAAACCACTTAGAAAGACGTGTCAGAGTGCTTCAAGCCCACAGATATGAAATGCCCAATTTCTCTTGGCCCTTGCCTGTTGGACATCTCCAAAGAGACGGGCTTAGTTGCTGTCGCTACAGTGCGCTTACTAATTGGCACAGCACCTGCAATCAATTAGGGAAGCTTCAATTATCCAAACCAAAGCCACCCACCCAAAGATTAATTTTCTGCTCTATTTCCTATCAAAAACATAGCATATTTAGCTCTGAGTCTAGTCCTTCAGTGGAGTGCATTTTAGACATATAAACTACATCGTTTTCTTCATTGTACTTGTTGCTCCAATTCAGCAGCTTTTCCCTCGTGATATCACACCCACCAGTTCTTTCAAAATTGTTCTTTTTTTGTTGTTGTTTTCTTGTCTTTCCAAAATGCTGAGATCACAGAGAAAAGATGTTAGTTGGGGAGCTTTTCTTTTGAAGTATGGATTCCTTTATTCTTTTGAAAATACCCAATCTCTTTTGCATTATAGGCTCTAACTTCCACAACCTACAAGCTCTGCATAATAGCATATCTGAATTTAACAGCACTCCTAAATACTGTTTTCTAATTGTCCCATGTAAATACAAAGATGTCTCTCTCCCAGCCCCACTTCTAAAGAATGATGTTTCTCTCGTGTTTCTCAGAGAGGGAGCAAGCCATAAATCGGGCTGGAATTGTTCAAGAGGATGTGCAGCCACCAGGTAAACTGAAAAAAAAAAAAAATCAAAACCATATCTCATTTGTACTACTGTGTTGTGTGGTTAGTGTGCATTTGCCTTGGCATGGAGAGTAGGAAAATGCCTTTTAGCTTAGAGACAAGATTGTGATTTTGCTATTTATTTCTCAACGGTTGCCATTTATAGATGCCACCCAAGACTTCATTCTAATATTTCACTCCAGAATACTTTTTGCATGTTTGCCAGGTTCCTCTTTTCCATTTTATAAGTGGGCATAAAAATGTTAACAAGTGCACGATTAGATATGAGACACGAATAGCTGTTTGGCCGACTTATTTACCAAGCACCTATTTAAACACTCCCCTCATGGGAAAATAGTGTTTACTTGTCAGCTATTTGAATTGATGTGGGGTTCTGCTTTGCACAAGGGCTAAAAAGCTTCCTTTATGACTGAATGGTTAGTTCCTTTAAGAGGATGCAAGTTAGCCAGGAATGAGAGGTTTCTCATTTATTAACCAAACCTCTTATAATCTGTGGCAACATTCTTTTTTATTTGTTTATTTTTAACTAGGCCAGATGTAGGTCTTCCTATTATGGGGTACAATTCCTGAGCCATTTAAAAGTCCCTTATGGCTGCCATGGCTTCCTGGCCATTTAATGGCAGGGTTCCGGCAGCCTGCTCGCACCATCTCAAACTACACTGTAAATTGCACAGCTCAATTCTGATGTCGTTTTGTTTGTTTGGGGTGGAGGAAAGTGGAATGACATTTAAAAATGAATCCTGTTTTTGTTCCTGTGTCTTTCCATAGGGTTAAAAGTGTGGTCTGATCCATTTGGCAGGAAATGAGAAGGCTGTCACCAGCTCTGATTAAGAAAGGAGATTTCTTCATGCTTTCAATTCTGCATGGGGTACAGTCAGTCACCTCACCAGAGAATGACGGCTGGAGAAGAAAACTCCATAATCCCATAAATAAGAGTGTTTGTAACAAAAGACTGTGCACAAGGATTAATATTTCCCTTCTTAAGTATCAAAAGAACTCTGGAACAAATTATACCATTAGGAAGGTTTTCGTGATTCAGTTGATTTTCCAAAAATGAAGCTGTCTCACCCAGCTGGGTTTGGAGCAATCTGCTTATTATTCTGTCGTTACCACTTACTCAAGCGAGCTGTGATATGAATACAAGCAACCAGTGGGCTCGGGAAGGTCCGGGTCTATTTTGCCATCTTCCAGATAAGAGATTTCAGTAAAAAACTGCCATGCTGAGCTGCCTTATAGAGCTCTTTGAAAATGTTCAAGTGGATAAAGCTCTTTGAGGACAAGGTACTTCGTGCACCTCATGCTGAAGATTGCACCATGTTGGAAAATAAATATGAAGCAAGTCAAACTAGATGCATACACTTGTGTAGAAATCAATAATCAATTAATAGAAGTGAAAAAATAAACATTAAAATGATTTATTTCTACTTTGCAGTGGTGTCTTTTTGTAAATCGTCTTTCGTAAAGCAGTTAAATTATAGTGCCGAGAAGTACAGTTTGACTAGATTATATTTGCCTAGATATCTGTGTGCGATTCATCTCTTTGTACTCAGGTAAACATTTTAGAGGCAAATAACAAGTTTGTTAAGACAAATATTATTGAATGGTGATTCTCTACCAGGTTCCTCACTAGGTGCTGCAAAGATGAAGGTGAGAAGACAGGTTGAGTATCCCTTATCCAGAAAAGCTTGGGAAAAGAAGTGTTTTGGACTTGAGATTTTCTTGGATTTTGGAATATTTGCATATATATGATGAGACATTTTGAGGATGGCACCCGAGTCTACATGAAATTTATTTATGTTTCATATACTTTATACACATAGCCTGAAGGCAATTTGATACAATATTTTAAAATAATTTTGTGCGTGAAGCAAACTTTTGACTAAAACCATCACATGAGGTCAGGTGTGGAATTTCCCACTTGTGTTATGTTGGTGCTCAAAAAGTTTCAGATTTTGGAGCATTTCAGATTCCAGATTAGGAATGCTCAACCTGTCTTCTTTCCCTTCCTCCCTCCCTCCCTCTTTCCTTCCTTCCCTCCCTCCCTTTCCTTCCTTCCCTCCCTCCCTTTCCTTCCTTCCTTCTTCCTTTGCTCTGTCTAGCCTCTTACTAGATGATATGCTTCTGAAGTGGCACACTTTTTCATTTTTATATTGGAATGTCTTGCATATTACTGTAGGCTGTCTATGAACTGCCTGATGACATAATTTTATTATTGTGAACCTGGAATTTTCTTGACAGACAGCTGGCCCAATTATGTAATTACTGTCAAGAAGACATAAGGTTGATAGTTCTAAAACCAAAGTCAACATTTTTGGTAGGCATTCTCTAACATTTAATTGACTTATAGTTCACAATCCAGTAAAAGAAGTTGACTCATGAGTGGTACATTTGACCACTTCTTTTTTTTTTTTTTTTTTGGAAAGGGCACCAGGAAGTTATATAACTTAAAGTCAAACATTCTGTGTGAGCATGATTGAGATTTCTTTATGACCGAAGCGAGCATGTGGTACCATCTGCTTTGGAAGATGTCCAGGCTAAAATGACTGTGTCTGAGTTCTGTAGAGAAGAACTATGGGGACTCGATTGACTGTCTTGGATGGAACAGACCCAGATTTATCTCCTGAGTGGAGTCTTTGTCCCGGGCCTGTTCCTGCCCTCAGCTCACCTCTTTACAGAGATAAAGGGGCTATCTGTCCTGCTCAGTTGCCTTGACATTTATAAAAGGATCACTCTTCATGTTGCCAGAGATGTTAACTTCAGACTCTCTGCTGTCCACACGTGACAGAGGCCAAGTTGTAAGAGATGCTATTTATGAGGACTGACAGAGGGCCTTGCGATTTATCCATGAGTTTCCCAGGTGTGCCCCCAAAATGATGACAGAGCGCTTGAAAGAGGGGGTCCTTAGTCAAATCCATTTAGGAAACAGAGTTAAAGTTGATTTTGTTTATTCTAATTTTTCTGATTTCCAAGAAAGGCATAACATTTCCCAAATATATTTGATCACAGGACAGTTTTTATAGATTATCTCTTGGAAGTTGGGAACAAGCAGCAACTTTTGGGGGAGATCTTTATGTCAGAGATTCTTAAACTTTTTACTCTCAGGACACCTTTACACTCTTATAAATCAAGAAGTCCAAAGTGATTCTGTTTATGTGGGTTACATCTATAGATACTTACTGTATTCGAAATTAAGACAAATTTGAGAAATGTTTATTAAGTCACTTCAAAATATTAATAACAAACATAGGTTAATATGACATTTTTGTGTGAAAAACGTATTTTCCAAGACAACAAATAACTTGCAAATCTCCTTAATGTCTGGCTTAACAGGAATAACTGGATTCTCACGTCTGCTTCTGCATTCAATCTGTTGCTCTATCACACATCACGTGGCCTCTGGAAAACTCCTCTGTACACATCCACAAAAGGACGAGTGTAAAAAGGGCAAAAAAGCTTTAGTAGTTTTCTAAAAATAGTTTTGACCATACCCCCTGGAAAGGTTTCAGAGACCCCTAGTGGTCCCTGGACCACACTTTGAACCCACTTTTTTTCCCTCTTTAGTCAGGACTTTTGAGAATTGTGTATCTGGATTGTATTGATTCCTTTAAGGAGTTACTTGTAATGAACTGTGCTTGGGCATGTCCATATTCAGGGTGGTTAGAAGCGGAGGGGAGAAACTAAAGTTTCTTACTGCTATTACTGCAATGAAGTCGGGATCTTCATTTTCAATGTCAAATAACATCCCCTTTAGCAATACTTGAATTTACATTTTTAATCTCAGAACCAGAAATAGCAACATTGCTGAACACTTGGGACTTTTCTCTTGTGAGATTTAATTGTGTAACTTGGTTCCCTCTTTGTACTGGCTGTCAGGAAGCTCAACCACATTTATAGATTAGCTTTTATTTTTATTTCTTTTTATTTATATTTATTGAGACAGGATCTTACTCTGTCACCAAGGCTAGAGTACAGTGGCTCAATCATGGCTCACTGCAGCCTAGACTTCCCAGGCCCAAGTGATCCTCCCACCTCATTCTTCCAAGGAGCTGGGACTACAGGCTTGCACCACCACACATGGGTAAATTTTTTTTTTAATTTTTCATAGAGACAGGGTTTCACCATATTGACCAGGCTGATATCAAACTTGGGTTCCAACCATCTGCCTGTTGTTTTGGCCTCCCAGAGTGCTGGGATGACAGGTGTGAGCCACTGCACCCAGCCTGCAGACCAGCTTTTTAAAAAATGTTGAAGACCTTGTGGAATGTATCTTGGCCATTACCTTACATTCACTTCATCCCCCAAACCCTACCTCCCGCCCTTATTTTCCTTCCTGCTTTTCACTTCAGTTTTCTATCTTATATTGCATGTTAGACCCCTTATTTAAAAATGAGGCAGGGCATATATAATATGTATTCACTAAAATAATCACTTACACTCTGGTAAGGAAAATGAAGTAAGTTCACAAATAATGATTAACATAATGTAGAATACTAAAAGTGCCTTTAAAGAGGTCAGAGTATCAACTAACACTGGACATAGGCAAACCCCATGTTCCTGCAGTCCTGCTTCTGGCTATGCAGCAAGAGTGCATCCACAAGTTTACCAAAAGACATGTTCTAGAATGTTCATGGCAGCACTGGAAGCTACCCAAATGCCCATCAGCAATACAATGTATGAAGAAACTGATGTATTCACAGATGGAATAGGATACAACAGTGAGAATGAACAATACAATCTCACCAACAATACTGAATAAATTAAGCCAGTTGCAAGAGTACATACTTTTAGGTTCTAGTTAGATGAATGAAAACAGGCAAAATTAAACCCTACAGGTAGGGGTCAGGGTAGTGTCTCTTCTGTTTTTTTTTTTTTTTTTTTTTTTGAGACGGAGTCTCGCTCTGTCACCCAGGCTGGAGTAGCTGGGACTACAGGCACGCACCACCACACCCGGCTACTTTGTGTTTTTAGTAGAAACGGGGTTTCATCATATTGGCCAGGCTAGTGTCAAACTCCTGACCTTGTGATCCGCCTTCCTTGGTCTCCCAAAGTGCTGGGATTACAGACATGAGCCACTGTGCCTGGCAGGATAGTGACTCTTCTTAGGGAGGGACGGGTAGGGACTGGGAAGGGCACAAGCAGGGGTTCAGGGTGCTGTCTGTTGGGTTCTATTTTTTTAACCTAGGTGCAGGTTACATTGGTGTGTTGCGTTTCTGAATATTCATTGAAATGTACAAATATGTTTACTTTTCTAAATATATGTTGCACTTCATTAAAAAAGTTTGGTTTTTTGTTTTTAAGTGCAGAGGCTGGGCGCAGTGTCTCATGCCTGTAATCTCAGCACTTTGGAAGGCAGGCAGATGGCTTGAGCTCAGGAGCTCGAGACCAGCCTAAGCAAATGGCAAAACCCCATCTCTGAAAAATACAAAAAAAATTAGCCAAGGTTGGTGGCATGGGCCTGTAGTCCCACCTACTTGGGAGGCTGAGGTGGGAGGATCGCTTGAGCCTGGGAGACGGAGGTTTCAGTGAGCTGAGATCACGCTACTACACTCCAGCCTGAGCGACACAGCAAGACCCTGTCTCAAAAAGAAAAAACAAAGAAATAAAGAAGAAGAAAAAAAGTCCAGAGATACATTTTAGAAGAAAAAGAGGTTGCATCTAATTGTAATATCAGGGAACTTTCCATGTTGTTGTTCAGTGGCAGGAAGGATGGTAAGATTATGTAGAGTTTGGGGGAAAATTAGGAATACTGTATGTAAGGTGCCTATGATAGCAGGGCCAGATAAATGACAGCCAATCATAGATGGAGTAGCTGACACGAACAGAGCTATGGGAAATGAGATTCAGACATCCAGTGGGTGACAAAGGTGCAGAATTTGAGAGCTGCTTTGGTTTGGATGTAGGTGTTGATGGGGAGATCACTATACCATGGGCTTTACCTGTCCTGTGCACCGCTGTATCCTGCCACGTGGTGTGGACTTGGTGTAGAGTGGGCACTTGGTCAGTATTTGGAGGGATGGAATGATTAAATGATCAACTGAAAGAATGAGTGAATGGAGGAAGGGAATGTAGTTTAGGACATGTGGCAGACTCCCTTAAATGTCAAGCTGGTATTTTTTACTTAACTTAGGAGACATGAAGCATTTTAAGTAGAAAGTGTTCTGAAAACTTTAAAACAAAACCAGCATGCTTTCCCCAGAGCAGTTCTAATGAGAGTTGTAGCTGGAGCAGTTCAAGGCTGTTTGTTAACTGTCCACAAAAAGCTAAATACAGAAATGAAGAATAAGCATTTAGAAATTTTTGAATCTGATAGAGCAAAACTCAGGCCTCCCTTTTTTTTTTTTTTTTTTTGTATTGTCAAATTTCTAATAACATTACTTTTTAGTAAACTTTACAACGGTCCACCATGGATTGGTAGCTAGAAACA